AGGAAAAACATGGAGGCCTGCAATGCTCTACTTCAAATGGGTTTATATATAAATCCTATTTGACATTTTCTTTATATGGACGTTTTCAACACCTGTATCTATAAAAGCAGTAGATTGTCTCCTTTCATATTCATCTCCAAACTTGCTCTCACCTTTCTTGGCTAACACGTAACAAAGCTAACTAGCTAAGAAAGGAGAGAGTAATGGCGCTCAAGAACATTCTTGCCCTTTTGGTTGTTCTTAGTGTTCTTGGAGTTTCTGTTGCCATACCAAATCTGAGCCTTGGCCTTGGCCGTGGCCTTGACCTCGACTACTACCGGAATCAGTGTCCTAACGCAGAAGGCATTGTCCGTAGAGTCACAGTGGAATATGTTACTCGCCAGAAGAGTCTTGCGGCCGCGCTTCTAAGGATGTATTTTCATGATTGTTTCGTGAGAGTAAGTTTGCTTTGCTTCGAGACTATAATAATGGGTATGTGAATAAACATTTAATTTTGTATGAATCAATGTAGGGATGTGATGCTTCCCTTCTTCTGAAATCTCCAAACAAGGATGCGGAAAGAGATGCTATCCCTAACTTGTCAGTGAGAGGGTACGAAGTGGTTGATGCCGCCAAGAAAGCCCTCGAAAAGAAGTGTCCCGGTGTTGTTTCTTGCGCTGATGTTCTTGCCTTAGTCGCCAGAGACGCCGTCCTAGTGGTAACTTTTTCGCATTGGACTGATTTTTCTTATTCAAAAACCATTGAAACTAGATTACTAAAACTTCCTTTTACAGGTCAATGGACCATGGTGGCCGGTTCCATTGGGCCGAAGGGATGGTCGCATCTCAAGAAAATCCGAGGCTAATCTACCATCGCCTTTCGCAAACATAGATCAACTGAAGAAGAGCTTTTGGGACAAGGGTCTTAGCACTAAAGACCTTGCCGTTCTCTCAGGTATTTCTTCAAACACATTTATGTGCATTGTTTTCTAAAAGCTACCAACTTGAAGATGTTTCCAAGCTGAATAATAAAATTGGTGTCTTGAGCAGGAGCTCACACCATCGGAATCTCTAGCTGCGCTCTCGTTAACCCCCGTGTCTACAACTTCACCGGAAAGGGCGATTTCGACAAGTCGATGAACCTTGGCTACGTTAGGGCATTGAAGAGAAAGTGCAAGCCCACTGATTTCAGGACCCCAGTGGACTTGGACCCAGGCAGTGCCAAGAAGTTCGACACTCATTACTACAATGCCGTGGCTCAGGGTAAAGGACTGTTCGTCTCTGACTCAGCACTTCTCAATGACGTTGATACCAAAAACTACGTTATAAAACAGGCTGGTGTTTCCTTCAACAAAGATTTCGCCGACTCAATGTACAAACTTGGTTTTCTTGATATACTCACCGGGAAACAGGGTGAGATCAGGAAGAAATGCTCCTCCGTTAACTAATTTGAGGTTCCGATTGTGTTGAAACGATTTCTGCTTATTCTGTTCTTTTGTTCTTTTATTTCTTCGTGAAGTCTTTTCACAGAAGATGAGATTTCCATATTTTTCTGTTTGTTCAATGTTTTCATTCTTATGTTACAAATTTAATCCTCTGTTTTGTTATATTCTTCTGAATAATGCAACTGTTTTCTGTTATACTACCACACACTAGTAGCTAAGAGTAATCAAAACTGAATTCTATAATACAAAAGATCATACAGAATAATATGAATTGTATCCAAAATCTAATCCATATTCAAAGACATTTCCATTGGCACCAACCCTAGTTCGAATCCGCTTGGGAGGAGAGATTTTCATAAAAGAAATAAATTAAAATCTATTTCCCAACACTTGGAAAAGACTATGGACCAAATGTCTGGAATTCTCACGGTTTAGTCCAATGTCCTAACCGCTTTGGCACCAACTTTCTATGAGTTAATTTTGGGGCCATTTTTGAAAACATGTTTTTTGTTTCTTTCCAGTTTCCATTTGATCAAAGACTATACACTCTTTTGTTAATAAGGCTGTGGATTTGAATTATGGGTAAACCTATGAATACCTTACTTGCTCGTTATTCATCAAGAATTTTCAACGAAGGTTTGTATTTGGATATGGATAGGGATGCGTAAAATACTTACTTATACGGACCGATGTTGTTATGAAGATGATTTTTGTTGATATCTCATTAATTACAAATTTGGGGTTTGGAATTTTAGTAACTTTTGAAAGGATGGGAATTTCAGTTTGGTTCGGTTCAGAAAGTTTGGTTTGTAACTTTGTATGTGAACCAAACTGAACACATTTTTACTCAAAACTTTAAAGTTGTAAAGTTTTTTTCTTACATAGCTTGACACACAAGGGTAAATCTAGGGTTTCAATTTTTAATAGATTAGTATATAACTAGTTGCAGATCAAAAAGATAACGTGTATGACAGTTTTTTTTTTACCTTTTCAGAGGATGAAATATAAAATGAAGAGAAAACGAAGTTGATGGAACATAAGAAATGTCTGACGAAGAAGACGAACAACGTGTGTTCCACAAATGAAACCATAGTCTAATTTTTCTTAATAACAACTAATAGATAGAGACCTCGTATTTAGTAAAATATTTGTTTTGTTTAGATGTCAAAATAGAACACTGGTTTGAGAATACTAATTTACTTAGAATAAAAAAACAGAGCTTGACCAAGTGAATGTCGTGGCTCGTTGCGCGTTTTCGGTCAATCTT